CTGAGTCAAGCCCTCCAAGGTAGGCAGGACAAGGGATGGTCCATATGCGCCCGGGGATAAGTAGGTCCTCAATGGTAACAGAACGAGGAACTTGACTACCAACAGGCAAGACGTGAACAAGAACACCACTGTAAACGCGATAGAGGTGCTCGGGGAGCATGTCCTGTCCTGAAAGCAAGACAAGCATTCCAGGCTGTTCCCCTATCCCAGTTTGGAGCAGGAGGGAAGCACGTTTGCAGAATGTTGGCAAAACAGTGGCGAAGATCCGTCCATCAATGCATCGTGCATCAATGAGGACAATGCTTCCTTCCTCAAACCAGACAGGAAAGGCAAGGATGGAGACAAAGCCAGTATCTGGCTGTGGGTTGACAGCGATGAAGCTGTCAAAGAAGACAGATGCATCACTGACTCTGTTATCTGCGACGGCACAGTAGACCTCACCTAGTGTGCAAGGCAATCTTAGGGTGATTTGCACGGTCTCATGATCAAACCTGGGCGAGAAAATGAGGAATCCGACCTGCACATCTTCCGCATCAGGGACTTGAATCGCATCATCAGTGACAAGACCTAAGGCTGCTTCAGCTGTGGGTCCCTCACTTGCCTCCCTGTCAAAACGTGTTGGCTCCCGGAAACGGAAGGCCCCCTGATCATCTTGAGAGTTCCCAGGTCCCTGCAAGCGGGGGGCATTGCCTGGCTGCGCAGAGGAAGCAGCTTCGATATTGAGAGCACGGCTCCTGGGATGCAGGAAAAGCTCAACTGTGCATTCGTGTGTAACCTGCACTTTACCCTTGACGAAAGGCACGCCAAAGGGGACTGGGGCAAATCCGGTGGGAACCCCAATGGTGAGGAACCTGACAATGCTATCGAGGTCTACCCAGCCAGGACTACAAACTATGAAAGCAGGGTCAAGGCCGGCACTCCTTGGATCAAGAAAGACGATAGCACCGTACTTGGTAACTTCACATCCTGAAGAGGGCCTTGGCTCGGCAGCAGCGACACCATGTACCCGATGACCTCTTCGAAGAGTGGCAAGTAAGGGACTATTGTGTTTGGCAAAGCCAAAAGAAAGCTCACCCGGCTCGTTGTGAGTGGACTCAGCGAGGGTCCTCAAGAGATGATCAATCTCACTAGAGTGGCAGCGCGGAGTACGTGTGACATGGCTACGGAGGAAGAGCCAGGTGTCCCCACTGTCGAACTCAAAGCGGGGTAGATTATCGTCCGGAGACCAGTAGCCATAGTGTGTAAGCTTATTCCGTAAAGACGGCGAATCGCCAACGGAAGTGCCGAGTGGAACAAACCTAAAGACGTCCCCATTACTGACCTCAACAACGGCTTCATCGCACATTGGGGTGCTGCTGCCTGGTGCAAAAACCTGCCATTCCCCTGTGATATGAAAACGAGCCGCATTGTCGAGGGAGACCCGCGAGAGAGAACGCCAATCACAAGTAGCGTACACGGGACCAGAGCACTTTGAGAAGTCAAGAATGTAGACAGCCTTCTCAGCGTGAGCAACCCAATCAGGCACAACCACAAAAGTGGCGAAAGGATTAAGAGGCTGTGGGTTGAGAGCAACAACCTGTGAAGAGCCTTCATCACCGGCCTGCCTGACATATCTGCCCTCAACAGCTGCATGGAACGTCGAAGCGGCAGTGGGCAATTCGTGATGCAGAACAAAACAACAGGTGGGATAGTCTGCTTTCATGACAGCGCACTGGAGTGCGAAGACTTCCGGTTCAAGACGTAGGGCTTCTCGAACAATGTCCCTGAATCCACCTCTAGCCTCAAGGTGGGCACCACTTTCAGGGGTGTCGGGGGAGTCGGCAGCGTCAGGAACAACAGGAAGGAACTCAGAAGCGAGACTGGTGACGTAGGGGCCGACTATATCAGGGTCACGGACAGCTCCGACGCAAACAGGAAGGCTAAGAGAACCTAATAACAACTGCAGTCCACGATGCCAAATTGAGGACCTGACCCTGGGTCGGTTTCCACGCCGGACTTTCTGAGGGCACCAGTCAAGGACTGGGCGAGTGGCAGATCCAGCAAGGGCCAGGGAGATCACGATCACCTTATGTTGCACAGGGAAACATGCAAGAAGGAGTCTCCCAAGTGGAGACCTCTGAATGAACTTGTGCCTAAACAGAAGGGTCAACAAGGCACTGAAAACAATCCCACCAAAAAGGGTAAGAACAGAGATGGCCTGTTGCACCAGCCACAAGGCCCCAAAGAAAGGAAATTCTAAGTGCTCGATCTCAGCCAAACCTGTGGACGTCCCTGAGCCACCGATACGTCTCTTAGGCACTAGGTTGGTGAGAGAGTTTAAAGAGGTAGGGGCATCCCGGAAGGGACCGTCAAAAGCTGACGTAGAGAAGAAGGTCGGAAGAAAACAGTAATACAAGGCCCCGAAGCGCAAATAACGGCCCCGACAGACGAGGACAGGCCGTAATGGGCAAAGGTAGAGGCACATTCCAAGGCAAGGAGTGGAAAAGTGCTGCCCCTGAGCGACAGAGGAGGCCTCGGAGGAGAAAATGCCAAGAAGATAAAAGCAGCACTGAGGCGCACAAGGTGCAGCGAAACAATTGGCTTTGCGGAGCCCGTGATTGACAAGAGGACCTGCCTGGGACTTGGAGGACGCCCCAGCGCCACCGATGCGTCTCTTAGGCCCCAAACCAGGAACAGGTCTTCTAACAACCCAAGCAACCCTAAAAGGGAAGCCAGGACCAAAATTGGTGTGAGCTAAAGCTAGAAGCCCAGAGGAAGCACAATGCTGGGAGCAAGGCGGGGCCAGCCAAAACGCAGCACAAAACCAGTGCTGAGCAAGACTGGCAGAGGAAGAAATTGGCTGAGTGACAATGAACCTCCAAAACCCAAGGAAGTCACTGCCGCTCCAGCCTTCAGACAGACAGCACCTTAAACATGATCCAGAGGAGGGCTCTCCAAAGCATTGTACAGCGACACGTGGCCCGTGCCTAATCCCAGTGGTGCAATCAAAGAAAATCGCCTCCCCAAAGAAAGATGTACAAGGGTCGGTGATAGAACACCCAAAACTGTACAGAATCCGAAGAATGTACAGGGTTTGTACTCCCTCATCGGCCACGCAGCACACATTCGGACCGCTACCAGGAAAGAGATCTTGCACGCAGGGCAACTCGCTCATCCACAGTGTCCCCAATGACAGTGTGGACAAACTAGGGCTCTGAATGCGATCCAAAATCCCTGTGCAGTCGAATGCGATACGCGGAGCTCTCAGAAGAGGAAAGGGGGCTATCCTAGACCATCCAGACTTGGCGCTCTCGCAGCCCCAGGTCGATGCCCGGTGTCCATCGGCATCTCGGAGTCCACATCCACGGCCCCTTCGGTCCTGGAGGCATCCCCCGAAGCATCTGGAAGGGAAGTCGTGTCCCGGGCAGCACTGACGTCGACCCTGAAGGGCTGCAGCGCCTGGCCTCTCTTCGCATCTAGCTTCGCCTGGAGAGAGGGACCACTCGGTGGGCCAACATCTGGCTTGGTGTGTGTCTTGACCGATTGTCGTCTTCCCAAGCTCGGCGACGCCAAATTCACTCTCGTGTTGGGCGAGGAGACATAGGGCGCCTTGTTGAGAGCAGGCGGCGCATAGCCTCCGAATTCCTCTGTTGCCGAACAGGTCGCTGTCTCCAGGGGATGAATCCGCTCCATATCCTTGGCCTCTGCTGGAGTTGGCAGGGCACACCCAAGCCCCGGTGCAGGTCTCGCCCCAGGGAAGATCCCTGTTGCTCCTCCAGGCGGGTCTCGGTTCTCCCGAAGAACCCGAGCAGGGTCCCTCAGATCCATTTCGCTTTGCGGCGCCCGAAAGGACCTGCCCTTTGCAAGCTGGAGAGCCTCCGCAAGAAAGCCGCTCTGCTCCGGAGAGTCCTCGCCCTCTTCCATAAAGGAGTCCCAAGCTTCCTCGATGTCCTGGGTAGACTCTGTCCGGTGGGCACCTTCTATGCCACGGACAATAATGTCTCTCACTTTCGCTGCAGCCTCCTGTCCGTTCTGTGTCACCACGGCGGTTTCCTCCTCCAGCCTGGCCAAGTCCTGCTCGTAGGCTGCTTGCTGGCGGTACAACTTTTCCTTGAGGTTCTGCTTGTAGATCGTCCACTGTTTTGCCCTTTGGGCTTTTTCTTCCTGGATCTTGCGGAGACGGGTGTCCGCGCGTCTGGCAGCGGTAAGGGCCTTCTGCACTTCCTGCAGAACTCCCGCGTCGCCTGTGGCTCCCTTCTGGAAACCTTTTCGTCCGCCCCTCTGCTCCTCTGTGACATCGATGCGGTCGTATCGGTCTTGCTCCCCACGCCTGGGTGACCACGCACCAGGCCACCAATCCCAGTAGGATGAGCCACTGGAGTCCGCTCGGCCGCGTCCGGAGGGTCGTGCCCATGTCTGCTGATGTCCTCGACCTCCTCTTCCCATCACTCGGGGAAATGAGTGATGGCTCCGTAGCAGCAAGAGGTCCCTTTCCGCAGGGATGCGTCCCAGAGCGGCGGCAGCCTGAATACGGTGCCTGGCCTTCGAACGTCTGGTCCGTTGTCGCCTATGCCAGCGAGGCGAGGGAGGATGAATCCCGATGGCGAAGACGTGTCAGGGACACTGGGGCAAGTCAGCAATCGTCCGGCTAATGGACGTCTTCTGAGCCCTTTAAGCATGCATACATACATGCATACATACATAAACATAATGATTTATGCACATACATACACGCTCACATGTACATGCATACATACATGCTTACATGAAGACATACCAGCAGACAGACCTACAGACCGACAGACCTACGTACACGTATGTACGCACACGCATGCATCTTCACAGATACATCGATAGATGGATAGGCAGATCGGTAGATCGACGAACAAATCCTTCATCCGCATCGCCTTATTTAAGGGGTATTGGGTTCTTGGGGCAAAACCCTAAACCCTAAACCCCAAACCCTAAACTCTTAAAAAAACCCTAAACTCTAAACCCTGGGTTCTTGGGGTAAACGACAGGCCGGCACTTCCAGACTCGTGAATGCCGGCCTCCGACTCGCCAGTTTTCCGATGCGAAAAGAAGCGCTTCCATTTCTGATTTTTCTGTAGGGGTTTTGATAAAGAGGCAGGGTTTTGCGTTTCTTTCTTGAGGCTTTTGTGAGGGTGTCTGTAGAACCTATATAATTTAGTGTAGCATCTACTTCCAAGAGCGATCTGACTCTACGTAAGGGTGAACTCTGACTTGATAACCCCCAAATGCCGGGAAACCCCCGAAAGCTCTCTCCTAAAGCCCATCCTCTCCCCAAGCCCTGTGGACCCGAAACTCCCTAAGCAAGGCTTAAACTCCAGTCCGCAAATTCCTTACTCCACGAACCCCAGTAAGCCCTAAACTCCAAACCCTCAACCCTAAACCCGAAACCCTAAAGCCCAAACTACCTCATTACACCGTCTTGTCCGGCTCGAAGCCGAAGACGCCGACGATAGCCAGCTAGGAGGCAGCGCGCCCCAACGATCTCCTTCCGCCATGAAGCGCACCTTGACTCTGGGTTCATGGGTTCAGGGTTCAGGGTTTAAGACTTCCGATTTAGGGCTTAGGGTCTTGTGTTCTTGGTTTAGGATTTAGGGTTTCGGGTTTAGGGTTTGATTTCAGGTCAGGGTTCAGTGGATTCAGGGTTTCAGGTTCAGAGTGTTGGTGCTGCAGCGTCGAGGGTGCAGGGCTTCGGGCCCCGCTACGTATCACGGGTACTTGTGCAGCTGCGGCTCTTAGCGGATGAGACCTCTCAATCTTGTTGTTGATGTCAGCGTGGTTCTGCTGATGCTTCCGTTGTATGCTCTTTTCGGCTGTTCCCGATGATGACTACGATGGTGGTGATCATGACGGTGCTGCTGCTGATGACAGTGATGGTGGTTGTGACTGGCGATTGTGATACTCCCGGTGGCCACTAGCGGTGGTGGTGGTGGTGTTGACCTATATGCCGATCCGTATGCATGTGTAGTTGTGTCGTGGTGTTCGAGGAGTTGCTACTTCGATTTTGGCGTAAAGCTCGGAGCAAAGTGCGCCAGTCGTGTCAAGCTTCACGCGAAGCCCCGAACGATGCTCTCATTCCCGGCTAGGCTAGAGTCCACTACCCAAGGATTCTTCTACTTTGAATCAAGTAAGGACCCTCTACAATCCAATCTAGGGGCCTGAATAACTACCTATACTATTTTGGGGTTCCTTATTATGACTATAGTTTTTATCTACCCCAAAACCCTATTCTAATTTTTAAGGTCCAAGTAAGGACTCTCTACCATCTAATTATGGACCCCCCCCCGCACAGAGGCCCGGCGAGCGCAGCAGCCGGCGCGGCCATGAAGAAGCCGGCGGGCAAAATTCAGAAGGGGCCGATGACGACCTTGGACTTCCCGAAGCTTGGCGCCAGGGGAGGAAGGGAAGAGCGCAAGGGGGGGGGGGGAGGGCGGGGGGCGTTTAGGGTTTAGGGTTTAGGGTTTAGGGGGGGGGGGGGTGGTTCCTAAAAGCAGATCTTTGAAGTTCGTTCAAGCTTTTAAGGGTTTGGGGAAGCACGCCTTGGAGCCTAGAGCCGCAACAGCCTCCGTAGAAACTGCCTCTCCCTGCGATTTCGGTTTCGGGGTTTAGGGCTTCGCGGCTTTGTGGCTGTCTCCGTCCGAGCGCCCTAAACCCTAAACCCTAA